ATATAATTCTTTTAAATTCGGTTGATTAGACTTAGCTTTATATGCGATCAAAATTATGGATCTTTGGCGCTCCTCTACCTCGCGAGGTGCTCCGCTACTTAGCATATATAAGAATTATATATGAAATAGGGGTAGAAAGGACCGAAAAATATAATTCACATATAATTCTTTTAAATTCGGTTGATTAGACTTAGCTTTATATGCGATCAAAATTATGGCTCTTTGGCGCTCCTCTACCTCGCGAAACACTCCTCTACCTCGCGAGGTGTTCCGCTACTTAGCATACATAAAAATTATATATGAAATACGGGTAGAAAAGACTGAAAAATATAATTCATATATAATTTTTTTAAATTCGGTTGATTAGACTTAGCTTTATATGCGATCAAAATTATGGATCTTTGGCGCTCCTCTACCTCGCGAAACACTCTTCTACCTCGCGAGGTGCTCCGCTACTTAGCATATATAAGAATTATATATGAAATAGGGGTAGAAAAGACTGAAAAATATAATTCATATATAATTCTTTTAAATTCGGTTGATTAGACTTAGCTTTATATGCGATCAAAATTATGGATCTTTGATCGCGTATAAAGCTGGGTCTAATCAACCAAATCTTAAAAAATTATATAAGAAATAGGGGTAGAAAAAACTGAGAAATATAATAAAATTAGAAATAGATCGATATCTTCAAATTTGCGGAAGTTGGAGCAAGCTCGGACATCAAATCTGCACATACGTACATATATACGTACGGACATGCGATTTTAATGCAATGTTTCGACATTTTAGAATACTCTGAACATATTAACTTAAGCAAATTTGGAGATATCTATCTATTTCTAATTTTATTATATTTTTCAGTTTTTTCTACTCCTATTTCATATATAATTTTTTTAAATTCGGTTGATTAGACTGAGCTTTATATCCGATCAAAATTATGGATTTTTGGCGCTCCTCTACCTCGTGAGACGCTCCTTTGCCTCGCGAGATGCTTCTCTTGCCTCGCGAAACACTCCTCTACCTCGCGAGACGCTCCTTTGCCTCGCGAGGGAAGCTTCCCTTGCCTCGCGAAACCCTCCTCTTATCTCGCGAGACGCTCCTTTGCCTCGCGAGATGCTTCCTTTGCCTCGCGAATCCCTCCTCTTATCTCGCGAGACGCTCCTTTGCCTCGCGAGATGCTTTCCTTGTTTCGCGAAACCCTCCTTTTATCTCGCGAGACGCTCCTTTGCCTCGCGAGATGCTTCCCTTGCCTCGCGAAACACTTCTCTACCTCGCGAGGTGCTTCGCTACTTAGCTTTATATGCGATCAAAATTTATACAATATATAAATTGCATCTATGCATACAAGACAATATTTTCAAAAATTTGACTTACACCACTATGGCTTTTACCCGTCCATATGTAACATTATTTATAAGAAAATTATATTGTAATAAGGAATTATAAGGAAACGTGTAATAAATTTGAAATTGTATGATACTAATGCCGGATATATTATACGAAATCAACATGAGACGATTTCTTAATAGATAATAACGGTGTTTATTCTTTATCTATAGAATTTCACATTTTAAAAATTATCGTTAATTATTATAATTTTCACATAAATGTGAAGGTTTGAATCAACGCTCAAATAATAGCTTCTTGCTTGCAAAATTTGACATTTATCTGAAAATTAAAATTATAAAATTACGATTATATTTTTCAAAATTATGAGATACAAAGTTCGTAATAATTTTGAAGAATGTAATCTTAATTTTGTAATTTTAATTATCGTAATTCGTTATTAATTGGAATACGCAAGATGGAAGCGCGGCCGCCGCGGCCAGAATATCCCCTCCAGCTGGCTAGTTCGGCTTCGGCACGAACCTAGCACGGACGCAAACCATGTGCGGTTACCGAGCGATACGACGTAGTTGAGTTGCATTTTCTCAGGCGGCGCGTCGGAAAATGCAACACAGCAACACACGAAAAAGGCCGGGATGGCCTCTCTCAGGTTTCTCTCTGATATAAGAGAAACTTTAAAATGTACGATATAAGATTTTTTTTTTAAGTATTCACAAGAAATTAACAATTGCTCGTAAATTTCTCAATTAAAAAGAGAGTCGCTTCGTGAAACAGTTATTACTGCGACATCGTTACAAATAATCAGGTGGATTTATTAGATTGTTAATTGTCTACCGGAAAGGACCATGTTAATCGTAGTGACAATGCGAGGGATAAATATATCAAAATATTTATTATCGTCATTAGATTACAGAGCAGAATAGGGAGAGTGAGACTAGCACTTTGTCAAAAAAATGTATTATCGAGGTAGTAAATATAATACATCGAGATAGTAAAATATTTACAATAAATTAGATCGGCATTCAAGGTTTGGGATGCCCACGTGCCTTTGCTTCTTTAAACATCGCTACGAGAGAGTCCATAGTCTCCTCTCCAGTCGGAATAATCTGATTAGGCGGTAACAGAAAACCGTAACGACCTTTATCGCGCAACTCGTAGGTGTAGGCGATAGGTTTACGAAGAACGCCTTTGACATAATCCACAGAACTTCCGGTAGCTATGTCTGAAAGTGATTCGATAAGAACGTTAATATAAAAAGATCACGTTTTATTTACGTAATTACGATTACTTTAATCTTGGGAATGCGATAATTCAATTTCAATTATAGCAGATTATATTTCGATCTAAAGAAATAGAAACAAAAAGAGATCTTTAAATCAGATAAATCATTTTAGATAGATTACAAAATACTTAAGTTGATAAAAAAGATAGGGAAGTAAAATGAATTGAAAATCATTTTGCTTACAGATTGTCTCAGCAATATTTCCGGTTACGTATGAAGTTCCGTATCTCTTTCTGAGAGCTGTAATCGATTTCGTGCCGATGGCGTACTGGAAATATAAAGATTATATATAAATTATAATTGTTACAGATCGCGACGTTAACAACGAGATAACAAAAATCCCTCAAATTCGAAAAATCAAATTGACACACAATTAATCCGATAATAGAGTAATGATATGAAGAAAATAATTATACAAAAAAATGCTTTATTAATTTATTTAAGATTTTCTATGTTGCTTTAGAATATTAAAGCTTTTTACCAATTCCTCATAGTTTTCAAGATGAGCCCTCGTGTGACCATACGGGAACATCAACATTTGCGAATAACTGTGAAACGATATGTACGCGTAGAATTTATCGGAGATGGACTTGATGTAATCGGATGCGCTCTTCGTCTCTATGTCGGAGAATGGCGCACTTCCGGCATAAGTCTCGGAGCACGGGTTGCTGCTAGCACCTCCAGCTGAAAACGTCAAATTACAATAACGTTAATAAATATTTAGGGGAGAGAGAGAGAGAGAGAGAGAAAACTCGCTGTTTACTAAAAATCCGGGTACTTACTGTTCCATCTGTAGCCCCAGTTCCTGTTCGGATCGCTACCTCTGCAGTAGCCGTACGGCTTACGTGTCTTTCTCCACAATCGGTTCTGGAAATGACCGAAAAAAAATGTATACAGATAAAACTGATTTATAAATTAATGGCTCGCGTTCCGTATAGCACGTTATGAAACGGAGCTTACCGTAGTATGCGTGTACGCGTATCCGTCGGGATTGAACGAGGGGAAGATGTACCAATCGTGGCTCTCGGCTAGAGCTCTGACGTCCGGCTCGTTGCTGGTCAGCAATTGATGCAGGATGTACATGACGGTCGCCGGCGAGATCCATTCCCTGGCGTGAATGCCACCCTCGATGAAGATTCCGGGACTGTTGGCTTTAAAGGAGACCTTGACGCCTTTGATCTGGCGGCCCTCGTACGTTTTGCCGGCCACGACGGTCTGTACCTTGTCGGGGTATTGTTTGGCCAGGTCGTCCAGGTTCTTGTAGATCTCCTCGAGAGTGTGATAACTGGTGAAATCGAACAATTTTGATCGGATCTGATCGATTGATTGGATCTGAGGAGTCGTTTCGTCAATCAACTCTTGGACGTCGTTGATATGAACTTGATAGGGGATGCCGATCTGAGCCATCTTCTCATAGAATTCGGGCAACTTGTGCGGAGCGACCATCAGGTCCACTTGTTTGTTCACGACACTCGGTGAATCCCAGAAGGAGAACTGTAAGGAATAATTCAATCCCGCGCATTAGAGTTGAAGTTTAATTTTGAAATTTACTTTGTATTTCTTGCGAATTATTTGCTGAATAATTTTATAAATTGGAAGATTCTTTAAAATTGTAAAATTTCTAAAATTTTTTGTAAGTCTCGTGAAACTGATTTTGTGTGAGTTTCAAGTAATGAAGCTAGCTTAATGTACCTTAATCGATCAAGAGCAGAACTCTATGTATATAGATATTTTAGATTTGTACTCGTATTTGCAAAGCGTATCGGTTAACTTAAAAGGAATTTACTCACTCCATCATAAACGTTTTCCAATTCCCGTAGATTTTCGAGTTGCGTTTCTGTGGTCGGAATCAACCTGAAGACCTTGTAATTGTTGTAAAGAGCCTTCTGGGTAGCCCCACTGGCCAGGCCCACGATCGCGCACAACACTATTATCTTCCACATTGTGGCTCTGTATAAAACCAAACATTTTCGAATAATTTTAATACATGAATTTTAATATACAATTTTCGTTTAATTGACATGACTATCACGAATGTTTTTTTTAGAGTTACTGTTAGACAACACAAATAATTTTTAGAAAAGTGATAGTCGAAATTATCATTGACCGAATGCTCAGTTCAGGAATCGTTCTCTCGAAGACATCAGCGCTTACCCGTTGTGAGCCAGGAACACTTGTGATTATGATTGTGACTGCTGTTTCGTCCATTGTATTTAAACACTGGATGCACACGGCACCAACAATAGACACATATCCAGAACATTTTATTAAGAAAAATCATGCCGATCGATCAATCAAGTGAAGATTATGTTGGGTTTTACCGTTTATCAGACATGTGCTTGGCGCGGGACATTGTCTTTTGATTAGCTTGAAAAGAATCACGTTATCACGATTGATTTTGTATGGCGTCTCAATAGGTGTCGAGACGGCGTGTCACAATTAGTCGTCTAGCAGCTTTATCGGACGTTTAAATTGGAGCGTGTCTATATATATATGTACCCAAAGGTACTTTTTTTATAATCTAGAAATGGATCTGGATTTTTGCGTATTTATATATATCGTAACCAAGTTTCAGTAAATAATAACATGTATTTTAAATACATATGATAAAAATATTTATTATTACATAGATATATATTCATATATCGTGTTGATCGAAATTAATATAGAAAAAGTTAACTTGTTCATGTTTAAAATGTTTTGTTGGTATATTGCAAATTATTTAATTTCAAGAAGAGTAACATCGATTTTAAAAAAATATCGATTTCATGTGATTCCACAAGTATAAGGAAAATAATTTATATATTATATATAAAAGAAAAAGATTGAAAGTCGTTTTCAATGTTAATCTGATTGTGTACAGTGCAGTAAAATGATTGCAATATGCGTGAAATCAAGTGACAGATGCATGAAATTGATATACGAAATAATCGCTAAATCAATTCTTATTTGCGCGACTTTGTAAAAAGAACATGATTTTATTTCTCGATAAACAATTTTACTCTGTATTCTCTTCTAGGAATAATATACCTTCTCTCGATAAATAAATCATCGGCGCGAATAAAGCCACATTGAATTACATTCACTTCCTTTGTGAATGTAAATTCAATGTGACTCTCGCGTGCTTCGCATCTTTTCTAATGTTTTTACATAGTTATCGTACGTATATTTGTATTCTTATCAGATATATACTATCATTTCTCCATTGTAATTCTTCTTCATCGATTAGTTATTGCGTGATCGATATCATTTTCAATTGCGTCGTGGACAGTGTGGACACTCAACGAAGGATGATCTCTGGATAAAATAGTAATTGAAGCCCGATAAGACATTCTTGTCACCTAATTATAGATCGAGATAATGCTCCTTTTATCTGGATATCACAAGAATGGCGCATATTTTGTCTCACTTCACGTGAGCGATGCAAGATCACATGATCGAATCTTTTTCGCGCGCGATTTATTGACTTAATCCCCTTTTCTTCGCCGATTCTCTTTGTAAACAAGTAACACGCGATTGTCATCTTATAAATGTAAATCAGTGATTGCAATCACTCGCTTGCGAAAAATAAATAAGTAAAAGAGAATGGTTTCATCTTCAATCTCTCGAGAAATCTACTCATTTCAGAAAAGAAACTTCTATGGCAGGTTTGTGGAAAATATCAGTTTGTATTTTTACCTTTTTATTCGATGGATGCCGCTCGCTTTAGTTTCCTGGGTTGCGCTTCGCGGAATGTGCTCTCCGACGACTCTTTCGGCTCTTATATACGCACCGTTCTTTTTCCAGCATCATAGTACGCGTGGAGTAACGGGATATGGGTGTTTAATTTGCATATGCAAAATGAGTTATTTGGGAACCGCCAGCACGTGGTACAGGGTGTCCTAGATTCATCGTTCGCCTTGATAACATGCGGGCCCTTATCAGACTGCGAATACCGTGCATACTTAACTTAAGAAGTAGCAGAAACTTATGAGATCAAGGGCCGGACAGTCCGATCTAGTTTCTCACGGCTCGAAATAATCCGTACTCCTCACGTTTGTTGCGAGATCTTTATTAACAATGCTTTACAAGATCCTATTCGTGTCGCATACACGAATGTAGTTCGTCATAACTAATGAATTTACATATTTATCCATATCGTTCCGACCTAGCATTATATACATAACATTCTTTGTTTAAATCATCTCTAGAATCACGGTTCGGAAAAAGAGAGTCTTGCAAATTGTCAACGCTGCATTCTCTGAGAAGTATTATCACGCGCGCGCGATACGACATACTCAATGTACTAGCTTAATCTACGTCCTCGAAATTACGTTTGGAAAAACTGCGGTCGTAGAAAACGTACACAGCATTCGCAAGTGACTCGTCATTCCGTTTGCAACATTCTTCTCCCAGCACATATCTCTCTCATACAGTATAAACTTACAAACTTAATATTTATCGCTCCGAGGTATCTGCGTGATCAAGTAAATCTGTTTAGTTGATCAATTAGGAAATCAATAATAATAAAATACTTTACATAAAAAAGTACATTATTTATAATATAATATTATATATTGGATATATATTAATATTATATAGTATTAAATATATTTCTTTAATAATTACCTATCCTTCGTTAACATTCATAAGTTTAAAATCGCCGTTTTCCAATCTCTGCAATAAATTTAATCTGCAGTGGAATAAAAAAGACAAATATTATGCCATCGATATTGATTTTTTTTCCACGTCGTAATATATTATGCGTACAAAAATAAATACAATGTTATCGAAATATAATTAAAGTGGATACAGATACCTCAGATGCGTGAGATCTGTACCAAAAGTTTTCTCCGTGAAGAAACAATTTTGATCCGTATAAATTTAATCCGCTCATAGAAAATGTAATTAAAAAGCCGATTAATTGGCTAACCATAGATTTTTACTGTACAAAATATTTTTCTCAGGCGATAGAGGATAGAGTTCTTTCTTCGCTTAGTTCTCTCTGTAGTCATTCGGAACAACCGGCGTATATATAGACGCAAAATTATAATGTATATACTACACGGCGCATCTTATGTACGCGTATACTAACAGATGTAATTGTCTAGCAGCTAAATCAAAATTTCATGTTACATCACAGTCTGCAATTTGTTACGTGTGTCATACAGTCGATTGGAAGTAGATACCCGCTTTTCCTAGACCACCTTCTAAGATATATTCATTATAAATATAATTATTTTTCTCTAGAAAATTATTTGTTAAAATAAAGAAAAACATATGAGATGTATAAAAAATAAAATGGCAAAAATGTTCAATATTTGAAATCTAAAAAATCTATATCTATTATACAACTAATATATATGATTATCTTCTATAATATTTATATCATTGAGACACGGAAAAAATTATATATTTTTGATATATTTCAGAACGTGGTCCAGAATATATTATTCGACATTCGGAGCTATAATGTAACGAAAAATGCTATCTCAAATTGAAATGCTGATATTGTCTGTAGTATAACCAACGTGAGATGATTAAATACATTCCGTCATACAAAGCCTAATATTACAAATCGCAATCCAGTTATTTGGATGCAATGCTTCATTATAAAACGAATGATAATTCATTGCTTTAAGAGTTATCAAAACATTCTTTTTTTCATATCAATTTTAAACCCTGTGAACATTTTTTTATTAAAAACATATAGTAGATAATCTGATGTTCTAGCTTGTGCCACAAAGAATATATATTGACGGAAAACAAAATCCTCAATTATCAAATCTGTAGAATTGATTTGATATGTAATGCAATTACGGCACAAGGAAGAGATTATCAATAATATTAACTTTGGCCAATATGTGTATTGTGTTATCCGTCTAATAACTAGTTGTTTCTCATGTGTAGAGAATATTCCTTCAATATTTTTTTGTCTTGACTTTGAATACAGATCTAACTTTCCTGTCAAAGCATCCTTTGCAAAATACGCGGACAGAAAATTCTACTGAGTTTTCTGAAAAAGAAAAAAATATATTCAATATTTTAAGAAAAGAAGAACTCTCTCTGGTGAGTGTATTATCTATAATAAATTACTCACCCAATTGTTTCCTGATCCGCATCGATCGCGTTCTGCTATAAATGAGTGATTTCCATCCCGTGAGGCAGTCTGTGGCCATGAGCGTGACTCATACTAAGTTGCCTCGTCGCCATCCCACCACCACACTGGCTGCTCCAATCCGCGGTGGGTACCGGCGTACGATAAAACTTCGACGAGGTCTTATTAAATATCGGCAATAGCTCGTTTGCCTCAGTGGATAATGCCTGAGGATGTAAACTTTCAGTTAGGTCATCGCTGATAAATAAAAGCGCAGAACAAAATTATGACACGTAATATATACAACATGTAATATTTCTTATTAGGTGTCTTGGGAAAATTTAGATGAATTTTAAGTATTACCTTCAGATAAATAATAGTGTCTGTTCCGTAACCCTCACAGCTGAGCAATACGATGTCGCCGTGCAGATACCGTGCGTACAATCGAGACAATGGCAGACCGTAGCCGTATCCTGCAAGCGGTACCGTATGAGCATCTGATTTGCTCGGCTGTGGAGCGGTGCTGTACATGTATTTAAATAAATGGTCCGTTTGTGAACGAGGAATGCCACCACCTCTATCGGATATCTAAAGCAGATGGATAAAATAGTGGTTATTCGCTGCCATCTAATCACGCATCTTAAGAATTGAGCCACTGACGAAACGGTTCATCGTACCTTCACACAAATATCCTCTTTACCGCGCACTAACAAAACCTCCAGCGGCGGATAATTGTCCGATTCACCATGGTGTTCCATCACGGCTCTCATGCTGTTTTTGAAGAGCTCGAATAGCATATGGTACAAATGGCTCGGCACATAAATAATCCTAATCTCACTACTACGTTCAAGTTCTAGAAAAACGAACCATGCAACAATTATAATCAAACTTAGCCGCTATTATTCTTTACAATCCTTATTAATATTTCTATCCAATAATAAAAATGTAATTAACGAGTCATACATAACATAATTGTAATTTTTTATTCACACAACATATATATGTATATATCGAAATAATGGTAAATGTAATGGATGATTGAAACTGCACTTGGTCTACCTCTACAGAAAAATATTTGTCTCAAATTACTTACTAACACTAATATAATCAACTTTGTTCAAACTTGCCGTTATGCTGTTTGACTCTCAATTCCGGACTAGCCAGATAATATTGATCGCACAAAAACCGTGCGTTCTCATAAGCGTCCTTAATGACGTCGATTACGTCACAGGACGGATCTATACATCCAACGTGTCTACTGTGCCCGTTCAATTGCCCACCAAAAAGGAGCGCTGAAACATGATGGAAAGAATCAAGCGTATCAATGAAGCGCAATAATATGTGACTCATACTAAAGCTTACTCGTGAAATGTTCGTTGAACTTACTGTGTTGATTGATCAGCATACGAATGGAAATGCGGGACATGAAAAATCTGTCCAGGAAATACTGAATGCTGTTCTCAGTCTGAATGTCCACATCGTGAGATTCCTTCAGTTCCAAAACTCCCTGCGCCATTGTCTGGACGACATCGGTATGCCTGTTCCGTATCTTTATTAGAGCTTGGCAGAATCTGTAAAAAATCCGCGAGAGATTTTCGTATAGTAATTTGTGCTATAAAGGATTTTCATGAATATCGCAATCCGTTTAAAATAGTGCTTGATCTACAAATGTTTGATCTACTCACGTGTCTAAAGTGGTCTCGTTGACGTCAACTTTTTCGAAATGTATTATTTCCTCGAAAGACGTGGCATACATGTTATTCACAATACCCACACTAGGCATCTTTAGCAAGTTTTCCGGCAGTAAGTGGATCTCCTTCATAATGTTGGCGAGTCGTACGGGCAGTTCCTTCCTCAAGAATATGAAAGACTTCCTCGCACAGGCGTTTAGACCTGAAAAACATACATGATATAATCACAATTGCAAATTTTAATTAGAATATTTCGGTATTAGAATATTTTATAGAATAACAGAAAATTTTTCCTTTTTCAGATTTTAATATGAAAGTAAAATTTAGATATACATGTTAATTTGCGAGAAATAAAATTTTAATAATCACGCATTTTATTCGATAGATTTATTTTCTTTTCGCTCAATTACTCTTCCTTTGTTGTCCTTAATGAAATTTTGAGTTACGTGTTGACGTTAAATAATCATGAAGATAATGATGGCTGCAATCGCAGCAGCGGTGCCCGTCAAAACAAGTTTCGTCTTATATCATATTTTTTCGCCTGCCAGACGCCAAAATACATGTTTGTTGTGGAATTGTCTCTCAAAAAAGCGATAGATTATTGCCGTGTTATCGTAACAATATAGAGATCATAAATATTAGGAAAGCAAAGAAACCGCAAGTTTAATGACAGTTTTCACAAATGTCTCATCTAATACTAAAAAATTAAGAACTGAAGAATTAAGACTCTGTATATAATAATCTATATGTATAATGTCGTTAAGCTTTATCATCGTTAAGCTTTTAATTTATATGTTAGACTCTCTTTCGACGCAGTTTAATTATATATTTTTCAATGTTACTGAAGGATGACTCAGGAAAAAATTTATGAAACTTTTTGTGGTCGTATAGTACATGCAAACAAGATGTAAAAAACTCAGAAAACTTAATATTTATAATAATTAAATCAATTTTACGTTAAAACCTTTATTTCGGCGTCTTGTGTGTACAAAGAGATTGATGTTCTATAAAACCGTTCTATAAAACATATAAGAAGCTATGTAAAAACGAAGTTCACACACAAGTTATTTTATAGGTATATTATCTCGTCATCTATAGAATATCGAAAAATCAATACAAACCGAATAACTTCCAGTGATCATACATTGACGTACTTAACGACGTGTCGCTATTCCTTTTTACGAACTATAGCCACGCTTTACGTATGCTCTTATAACACGCCTTCGCTAAAGATGCCGCTCAATTACGAACTATTAGAACAATTAGCAAAATTCTTCATTTTAAGTGTAATTTCTTTTTCTTCTAATTTTAAGTTAAATGTTTCTTTTCTTTGTGAGCATGTGGCCTGTTTATTAAATTTTTACGCATTTTTATATAAAGTTCACGAAATATCCTAACACAAAATAAATTGTTTGCATTTTTAAACACGCGAAAAGTAGCTGTAGGAGATCGTGACGGAAACATCGGTCAATCGTCCATCAAATATTTGGAATCGGCACGCACGAGTGAATATCGATAAATCGATCCCTTATCTTTTCTCGTCGGAGTAAAAATTCAATTTAATTTATATAGACATGCTCGAGACATGTCCTCGGATTGCGTACGACGGTGTGCTCTGAAAATAAACCTCGACTCTCTGGTAAGCGTGCAACGCGAGAAGATTGTTACTTGAGACTGCGAGTCTGAAAAATTGCAACTTTGTCTAAACCCACCGCGGCCACCGCAAATGCTCGAACGTTGTGACTTGTGACGAGTGTCATGAAATACTTGAATGTAAATGTGCTCCATAATCATTAATAAAACATTTGTTTTTATCGATCGTCAAATAGAATTTTAAATCGTATCCCATGTCTTGGAACTTAAACGAATCCTAGCGAATTGTTCTGAAAAAACCAACATAAAATAAAATACAACAATTATCAGCAACTTGCTTGTTAACGTATTATTTCTGATACGTGAAAATCAACATTTATTGTTACGTACGAGAGGAGTTCAATAAATTTTGTGAATGGAATAATTGTGTTCACATAAAAATTTGTGCTCAACGGAGATTAGCGTATTCACCGATTCTCATCTTAGGAGGGACGACTGATAACGATTATTTATCACGCGAAATGTAATCAATGGAAAGATAGGAAACATCGAAGAGACAACAACGAGTGTACGAATGTCTGTACAATTTTAATCAGTCTTAATTCATAAAGATGTAGGTTGCGTGATCCGCTTGTTCCCATTATATAATTGAATCGAATTAACACGGAAAATACTTTTGTTTTACAGTTAATTTCAAATGGAGGCCATTTGAACGGAGAAAAACACGTGACGTTACAAGTGGTGATAAAAAGTGCGGTTTAAAAGAATTGCGCAATTTTTGCGGGCTTCGTGCGGTTGAGAATGGTTAGGTGTAAAGTACTCGTGGGCATAAAATGAGATTAGATTTTCATAAATTTTACGATGAGAATTGGCTCTTACGATTCGATTCTACAGAAGCGACCAGCCGAGAAATTGCCAGGAAATTGAATGCCCTTATCTGTCAGATGCAGATCAACTGAACCGTCTCGTTGCTCTTATAAAATTCCATTTAACAAGGCGAAAATGGATAAGCGGAAAATTCTGTGGCATCTGCTCACTGCTCATCGTGGGCATTGACAATCGCATCCATTTGATCCATTGGACATTGTCGAGCGTTGATTGGACCGAGACTTCCCAATATTGTTCACTCTAATTAGTTTTAAATCTCCAATTTCAAGCTTTTCCTATTTAAATATCATGAAAAACCTCAGTGCTATAAATCTCGACAATTTTACAGATATATAAAGTAACTGCGCAAATTTGTATTTTTAAATGCATTTTATAAACTCTAGAATATATCTGTGTGGCTCAATTGCTTTGAAGCGAGATGGTTATGTCGGAAATAGTTTTATTATCGATTCTGCTTAAAAAAGTTCAATGATAAGTAATTAATGTGCACAATTTTTGGAGTAACTAGAAGCTATCAAAGAACAATGAGGCTGGACTTCTGAAGATGAATGAAGTCGTGCAGAATTAAACGAGGATTGTTAGATACGCTGGAAGTGACACGTAAGGACATTACCCTCGGCAATTAGCATAACTTAGCCGCACCTTATCTGACGCAGATAAACATACACGGGCATGAACTCGTTGATATCGTAGATCTCGCCTTGTAAAATAATATTATCAACAACTACGTGCGTATTCTTTCTCAACTCTCAACCGCCGTATTAGGATAATCCATTTACGAAGAGCAAAATAAATGTCTCATCTCACTCTCATCATTCTTTATTCTGAGTCACCGTCACATGCGTGCCAAACAGAACAACAGATAAGAATATCGCTTTGTTCGAATAAAGATAGCGATCGTTACACATGCGCATTGTATACCCACTATTATAATATTTTATTGTTCGTTATCGCTTGACATTAACTGACAAAAGACTTTTTGACAATGAGTAGACAAGCAAATATTTTTGCGCATGCAAATGTCGTTTGCAGTAGTTTCGTTAAAAGAAATGCGCATATATTTCCTTATCCAGAGGTTATCGTCACATTTCGCCCTAATAAAGACTAAAGTAGATAAGGGCTAAAGGAAACGAGATCTAAGAATTTTATCTGCGCTTGACCTTCTCTCGATCACTTCGATAGCGCCGAATCGACATTCTCGAACCAAATGCAATGAAAATAAAGCAACATGAAATTCTTTTTCAGCGTTCCTCACGGTCACGAAATCGTGCCAATGGCGATGACCAGAAGAAAAGAAAGAAGCATCACCTTGAAATCTCAAAGATAACGAAAGATGACGTCAAATGAAATCAACTGTTTATCGGCCGTGTAATATGGCAACCTGAGTTCGGACGAGCCTTCTGGCCTTTGGACTTTGTTCCTAGTGCTCACGCCTATAATCGGCGATACTCGGTTTGCCAAATCTGTGTACCGGCCTTTTTTGACGTGGCGCAAAATGTATGTCGATCGTGCCAAGTGATTCTCAAAAATTTGCACATGAAACTTTAAATTTATTCGCTCAGTTGCACTTCCTATACCGTGTTCTATCTCCTCGCTTTCTTTCCAAGTTCTGAATACTTTACCGCATTCTATTTTTATCTGAGATGCAGGAAAAGTGCATGTTAAAATAAGCACTTCTGTGATTCGGCAATTGTTCTTCGTTTTAAAAATTCCGCGAAGTTGGAAGATATTATAAATTATTTCTCCTCGAATAATCTCATCTATGACAATCGCAAAGTCTCAATGAGAAAAAAAATATATTCCATGAAAATGTCTTCTGCTAAGAAACGTTGATGCTCGCAGGGTTACTCTGGGTTACGCGTTACGCTCGAGAGATATTCGGAATAATATAAAAGTAAATTTATAATTCGAGTACATTCAATGACATAAGATGATTTATGACAAATTGACTTTTACAATGTGCGCGATACGGTGATTGTATCATCGAGACTCATCTGCAATATCTATTATTTTTTCATGCTAATAGATAGCAGTGAAAACTAGTACTTTTCACTTTCACGTTATGACCACAGTGATATGCAAAATTAGAACTTGCGTATATTAGAACTTGCGGCCTTCTAAAATGATAAGCGCACGCGTTTATTATCGTTCTATTTATTTTATTATCAGAGACTTCGTATCGTGCATTTAGTATTATTTACGACGTTGTTTGCACCGTAAAATTGTATGAAATTGCATCTTACAGTTACTGATTTAACTTTTTAGAATATATTCGTTTATTTATTAGAACTTAAAATATCAAGCGTAGACGTATTTATGCACAAAAAAAGATAAAGTAATCAATGTAATTATTCCGAGGAAACAAAAATATCTCTGGTTAAGCATTGTGCATTTTTAAATCATAGTAATTGTTTAATTCTGAGTCATTATAATGAGAGTCGAGAAATTTAGCTGCTTTCGCGTGGAAGGGATAATCATTCTGATATCTTAATCGCGCTATTATACTGGTATGCGTTTCAAAATCCACACACAAAGAAATATTAATTAATATCACGTCCATCGTACGTACATGCAATCAACGTGCAATCGACGTGCGAAGTTAAAGATAGCGATGTTCTTTCAAAACAAACGCTTCCATGAAAAACTTGTCAAACGTCATTTTTACGATTTCCGATATGGCCAGTTTATGGCCAGTGTACAAAACAATTACGAGTATGATTG